GAACAAAGGGACGGGTTTTGAGTTTTACTTGGAAAGTCTGCATAAACTTGGCCTAAATGATCCTTCAATTTCATTAGTGAAAGAAAAAAAAAAACAACAATAAAAGAAACACACCTAAAAAAAAACACACAACATTATAAAATTAAAAATAAACATACAAAATAAAATAAAAAGAAAAGGATATCAATCTTTAGAATCATGTATAGCAACGGACTCTTCCAATTTAGAGAAATTCTCAAAAAATGGTTTCAAATCGAGCTTTGGTTCTTGAACACTTGAAATCATATGCGAATTTTTAGAATTATTATTGAATTCAAATTCAAGCGCATCATATGAAGATGTAGCGATAAACTGATCATCAACAAGTTGTTCAATAAGATCTACTTCATGAAAATCATCATCATCTCCATGTTGCTTGCAAATGTTAAAAACATTCATTTCCACGGTCATATTTCCAAAAGAGAGTTTTAAGATACCATTTCTACAAATTATCAACGCATTTGAAGTAGCAAGAAAGGGACGTCCTAAAATGACAGGTATTTGTGCATTTGAATTTAAAACAGGATGTGTGTCCAAAACTATAAAATCAACAGCAAAATAGAATTTATCAATTTGAACTAGAACATCCTCTACAACCCCTCTTGGAACTTTTACTGAACGATCAGCAAGTTGAAGTGCTGTTGTTGTTGGCTTAAGTTCTCCCAAACCAAGTTGTTTATACACAAAAAAAGGTAATAGGTTAACACTAGCACCAAGATCAAGCAAAGCACGCTCTATCCTGTTATTCCCAATCACACAAGAAATTGTTGGACAACCAGGATCTTTGAATTTAGGTGGAGTGTTTTGTTGAACGATCGAGCTCACATTCTCTGTCAAAAATGCTTTCTGTTGAACATTAAGTTTCCTCTTGACAGTGCACAAGTCTTTTAAAAATTTTGCATATGAAGGAACTTGTTTGATTGCATTCAATAAAGGTATGTTAATTTTGACTTGTTTGAAAAGTTCAAAAATTTCAGAATTATGGTTGAGTTTTGAAATTGGTTGCAATCGTTGAGGAAATGGAGCTGGAATGGGACATTTTTCAACAATAGGTTCAGAAATGATCTTTTCCTCACTTTTGAAAATGTCATTTTCTTGCTTTGAAATACCACCAGATTTTAGTTCTTTTGAAGGGATGGTTTTGTCAATAATTTTTCCACTATGAAGAGTCGTGATGGAGTTGGCATTTTGTTGTGGACTTTCAGAAGAATTAGAAGCAATTTACATTATATTGCTGAGAAGGATTTGGTTGAGGTTGAGCAGGAAATTTGCCTTTCTCTAGAGAATGCAAAGAAGAGGTCAATGAAGAAAGTGTGTTCTTGATTTCATTGATGGCTTGTGAAGTTTGATTATTAATATTTGCTTGTCCTTGCATAAAAGATTGCAATGTTTCCTCAAGAGTCTTTGATTGTGGTGGTGGAAAAGAAGGAAATTTTGAAAGCCCTTGAGGTTGTGATAAATGAACACGATTATCATCTCTCCAACTAAAGTTGGGATGATTTCTCCATTGTTGATTATATGTTTCTGAGTATGGAGAAGAAAAAGGCTTTTTGAAAGTGTTCATAGCATTGGCTTGATCATGTAAAACTTCTTTGAAAACTGGAATGTTAGGACAATCGTGCGTAAGATGACCAAACGTTTCACAAATGCTACAAATTTCATCATTTTGCACGGGTTTAACTTCCTTTACTTTCCTTAATTCCATAGCTTCAACCTTTCTGGACAAACTAGCAATCCTAGCATTTAGATCATCATCTTGACTCAATTGATATTTTCCTCCACTAGAACTAGCAAGACTAGATCTAATTGAGTTTTCGATTGGTTTTACTGTTTGCCAAGATTGAGAATTTTCAGCTAGATGATCTAAAAATTCTAACGCTTCATCTGGATCTTTATCTAAAAATTCACCATTGCACATCGTTTCTACAAATTGTTTTGTTTCAGGAGTTAGGCCCTCATAAAAGAAACTTATAGTACGCCATTTTTCAAAACCATGATGTGGGCATGTATTTAACAAATCTTTAAATATTTCTAAACATTGAAAGTATGCTTCATTGGTTTTTTGAGAAAAATTTTGGATTTGTCTTTTCAAAGCATTAATTTTATGTGCTGGAAAGAATTTCTTCAAAAACTCACTTTGCATTTCTTGCCATGTGCCAATCGACCTAGGTTTTAAAGAGTTAAGCCAAGTTTTTGCTTTATCTTTTAGAGAAAAAGGAAACAATTTCAACTTGACAATTTCATTGGGACAAGTTTGATCGTTAAATGTTGCACATACTTCCTCAAATTCTTTAAGATGCAAATATGGACTTTCGGATTCTAAGCCATGAAAATTAGGAAGTAATGGAATCATACCCGGCTTGAATCGAAAATTATTAGCATTAAGAGGAAAAATGAAACATGAAAGAGCAGAATTTCGAGGAGGTTGCAAGTAATCACGCATGGTTTGTACTTGTTGGTTTTCATTTTCATCGTGTATGCTTTCATTATCAGCCATGGTGGAAGATTTGAGTGAGTGTTGAGGTGAGTCAAATAAATTACTAAAGAAAGTTTCACAATTATCTTTAACTAAACGATGAGAATTTAATTCACGATACCAATATGACATAAAATAACATAAAAATAGAAGTAAAGAACAAAAATTAGGTGGCACAGCCAACCATATAATAAGAACGAAAATTAGGTGGCACGGCCAACCATATAATTAACAAACGGCAGATCGGGAGGCTCAGCCTTCCCTTTAAGGAAAGAAAATAAATAGAAAATAAAAACGAAGGAGGCTCGGCCTTCCTTTAAAGTAAAATAACTAAAGTAATAAGATTGAAAAAGGAATGAGTGTACCTGATTTGTGAAGATTATGAAAGAGAAGAAAACCTCACAGAAAGTAGTAGAAAATAATCCTTGACACAAATCCCCAGCAACGGCGCCAAAAACTTGCTACAACTTTAAGGTTGCAAACCCAAGTGCAGGTTGTCGCAAGTAGTAAATCTCGGAAGTCCGAGGTCGAACCACAGGGAATTGGAAGAAAATGAACTAGTCTATGAGTAGTGAACGGTTGGTGAAAATACAATGAAGACAAACACTAGAGCATCGGGGATTCACTTCGGATAAATGAGTAGAGATTGCACTTGATCTTTAATTTAACTCATATGAAAATCAACTAAGGAGTGATCTCATATGGAAGATAAAACATTAACCACAAATATACTAAAAGATAGATCTTGATAATTGTTTGAGAGAATATGTCAAAATAAGTTGTTGGTATGTAGAGATTATCTAAGCATTTATTGTGCCAAAATTGTCAACAATAAATCAAAGTCTTTAACAAACCAAAACCATTTGTAGAACACAAACTTCAACCAAGTAAGAAGATGAACATTGAAGAACAAAATGAAAGATCAAAGACAATACTAAACATTCATCAAAGTTTCACCCTTAGCTCTAGCTAAATGTTTAGAAATACATAGTGAAATGTTACAAAGAAAATGAAGGAAACTAGAATATGGTGGAGAGAATTGATGCTTCAAAATCGTGGCCAAGGTCCCCTTTTATAGGCAAAGGAACATCCAGAATTCAAGTAGGCGATGCAACTTGTTTCTGTCCAGCTTCAAGACAGCTGGAACATGCAACTTGATGCCAATTTTCAGATATATTGTGCAGCGAATTTGGACTTATGATCAACAGAAAAATTATTACCACTTGAGTTAGCTTTCCATTGGTTCAAATATCGGGTTCATTGGATCTATATAATTCCAGATATGACAAAAACAATAAGTGCTGCTTCACAGGTAAAGCTGTATCCGGCAGGTAACAAGCTGGACTTTGCACGATAATTTTAGCTGCCTTTTGATACGAATTTTACTTCTTCCAAAACATGAAAGTTGTAGAAACGTGCCTTATATTTCCAACCCAACTTGAATCACCTCGATCCAATTTTTGTAACTCAAGTTATGATTATTTTACCAACAGCTGCTTCTTGCTTGAGGCAGTCACTATTTTTGACTTTTCAACATTATTTTCCTCCACTTGCTCCACTTGTAATAAATTGAAAATACATGTGAAATACATCAAATAGATACTCTTTCAAATGTATAATACTCATGCCACCATGTATGTAAATACGTATTTCAATTAATTGCATTTTTAACCATGTATTTATGGAAATTGAATTTACGGCATGAGAATTGGAATTAGAGACTAACATTAGCGTTTTTAAATAAAGTGAATGTAAAATGCCTTGTAAATGATATATCTTTGAAACACTTTTAGACACTAATCACTTCTCAGTTCTCTTCCATGTCATTGATACTAAAACATCATACGAGTTGCTCCTTGGACGTGTTTGGCTACATGAAACTTGAGTAGTACCTTCCACTTGGTGCCAACACTTCAAATATAGCCAGACGGAGAAGTTAAATGTGTGGTAGCTGAGTCTAAACTATTCATTGAAGAAGAATCCCATTTTGCTGATTCCAAATTTTACATGGAAGATGTAGAGTGCAATTCTGTAGGTTGACCATGTCTGGATTCAAAATCAAAGAAGATGCAAATGATCATGATACATCTAGTGCTGCTCAATCTCATCAACTTATCAAAGGCAAGTCAAAATTTACATTCGAAGGATTCTCTAAAGGGAAAAAACCTCAAATAGAATCAACCGATATTGAGATATTGAGAAAAGAGTTAACTCTTCCAATACCTAGTATTTCAAAATTGGTTCTGCCCCCATAAACTCATGGAGATCTTGAAAGGATGTAAATCTACATTGAAAGCTAGTAGAAATACCATTTTCGAGAGGACTAAAATAGTGGGAGAAAATTAGTTATATGTTATGCTTTAAATGTTTAGAAGAGGTCTTGCTTCTTCTGTCAATATCTTAAAACTCATAATTGTGTTTGTCATTTGTCGGTAGATAATCAAATAATTTGTTGTGCTTTTACTGATGATAAATTTTGGAATTTACGGCAACTATTTATGATTTTAGTTGTCATATTGTCTATTGCTCTCATCATTCGTCTTTGCATTTTAATCTTTTTCTCCTTCAAATTTATGAATATAGTTTTGATTTGTAACATGGATGAATTGTTTATGATAATATAGGGTTTTGTAAAGTTGCGTTTCTCAAAATTGTGACTTTATAAGTGGGAATAAGTTTTATAACATTGGCACCTAGATTTGACAGATGGCACTCATACATTGGCTGACTCTTGGTCACACGAGTTGTGCTACTTCAAGTTAGCTTTGGACCGTTGATCTAATGGTTGAGATTTAACCTCTCAACCATTATTGAGTATGAGGAATTTCGAGATCTTTCAGTGTGTGCATATTCAGTCCTTTGATTTCAGTCTCTTGAGTTTTTCTCTCGCTACTGCATCTGTTCTCTCTTACATTTTCAATCTATTTGGTCATGAATCTGTAATGATATTGTTGTCTGATGATGGTAGAACTCTCACTACAGTGTTTTAGGCCTGAATAGTGGCAGATAAATCTGTACTGAGTCTTTTACAAGGATTTGTCTAGTTGAGTTGTAGATAGGGTTGTTGTATTGCGAGATCCTTGTGGATCGATGACCAAAGTGGTGACAATTTGGTTTTCCCATTCCAGTTGTACACCTTATCTTGAAGGTTTCTTGCATAGTGACATGCTTACCTCTGAACCCCCTATATTAGTCCATTTTTTGCTACACTGGGTGAATAATCTCTTGTGTTCTTTTGTTTTCTTGCATTGTTTTCGATTATCTTTCTGTTGTTTGTGGGTTTTGGGTCAAAATATCTGACAAATCTGGTATTAGAGCTACTTCTTGAGGCATCTAGGTAAAAGAATCCTTGTATTGAAGATCATTGATTTTTGAGGAGGTCAAATCTTTGTAAGGATTCTGGTTTTTTCTGAAGTTTTTTAGTTTTCCATTAAACCTTTTTTATTGCACTTTGTTTAGATCTGAACAGACGGTAAAGTTTTCTAACATTTCTGTTAAGTGTGAAGGTAAAGAAATTTTTGGTCTGTTTCTTGGTAAGTTTTTTGGACAATGCTTGGCAGGTGATAGGGTGGTTTTCTAATTTTTGTAGCTCTATTTTTCAACATAGTCTTTAACTCTCTCTGAATAATCCTTTTTACATATTAACCTGCTTTTAGAATTGTGGTTTAATTAATGTGGATTGAGTACTCTGAATTGTTGATTAATCTTACATAGGAGCATGTGTAGGATTTACTATTCAAGTATCCTTGTTGTGTAATCTTGTATTAACAACACTTTATTTGCTTGTGTTTACTGTACAAGTTAGGGTAATTGTTTTCATTCTATTATCAGCCTTTCTTTAAAATTAGTTAGGAACATTTTTTCTGTCCTTGAGAGATCATATATTGAGGATCACTCATGTCCACCCGTAGTAGCCACCCTTTTACAGAACCCATGATGGGTTCGAAGGTCTAATTGTCACAATTCGATGGAAATGAGGATTACTCGATTTGGAAGTAGAAAAGGAGGGCCATTTTAGTCCAACAAAGGGTTGCTAAAGCCCTGGATGACCTAAACACATATCGTGCTAAACTTAAAGCCAAGCTTGACGAAATTCTAGATATGAATGAAATAGTTTATAGTTCCATTATCTTGCATCCATATTATAATATTGTAAGACAAGTAGAAGATTCAAAACTGCTAAGGACTTATGGACAACTTTAGATAACCTGTTCTTGATCAAGATTTTACTAAATAAAATTTTTCTTCTAGAAAAACTGTTCAGTTTTAAAATAGATGATCAGAGAGACCTAGAAGTTTCTTTGAGAGATTTTAGCATACTTGTGAAGAGTCTTGCTCATAATGACAAATAATTTTAAGATGAGGATCTTGCAGTAATCCATTTAAACTCTTTACCCGAATCTTATAAGGATATAAAAAATGCTATAAAATACTCAAGAGATGGCTTAACACAAACAATCTTGACAAATGCATAAGATCTAGGGAATCGGAGGTTAAGAAAGAATCATAACTAATTCAAGAGAGGAAAGCCTATTTGGGAGAGGGAGAACCATTCACAGAATAAAAGATTCAAATCTAAATCCAAAGCAGGATCTAAACAAGAGATAAAAGTAACAAAAAGTGCTATCATTGTGGAAAACTTGGGATATTTTAGAAGAGATTTCTTTGAATTAAAGAAGAAGTTGAAAGAACACAGCAACATTGAGTTAAATAATGCTGCTATGAATTTCGAACTTGACAGGTTTCTTGTTATGACTGTAACAAATGAAGAAGCTGACACTGACTGGATTCTAGACTTTGGATGTACCTTTCACATGTGTCTAAATAAATCTTCGTTTCATAAATACAGGGAGATAGAACCCAGAAAGGTATGTGGGTGATAATAACTCACAAAATGTTCTTGGTACTGGTGACATTACAATCAAAATTTACGATGGCATTGTCAGATAGATTAAGAATGTGAGACATGTCCCAAATCTAAAAAGAAATTTCATTTCGCTAGGAATTCTTGAAGATGAGGGACATACATTCAAATCTGAAAATAATACTTTCAAAATCTTGAAAGGATCTCTTGTAATTATGAAGGGACCAAATAGGAATGGTCTGTATTACCTAATGGGAGAACTGTTAAT